CAAGTGTTCCCTTAAGGAATGCATTTTTTACATCCATCTGATGTAGAGGCCAGTCTAGATTAGCTGCCAACGAGAGTAGTATTTTGATTGTGTTAAGTTTAGCAACTGGGGCAAATGTCTCATTATAATCCACTCCAAAGGTTTGTGTAAAACCTTTAGCTACTAACCAAGCTTTATATCTTTCCACTGACCCATCTGAGTTGTATTTTACTGTGAAGACCCATTTACAGCCCACTGGGCATTTTCCTTTGGGTAGAATTACAATCGCCCACGTACCATTCTTTTTCAAAGCTTCCATTTCTTCCAAAACTACCTTCATCCACTGTGGCTTTTCAAGTGCCTCATGTATACTTCCAGGAACCTCCTCAGTAGAAATCTTCTCGGTCATAGTTCGGAAAGTAGGTGACAAATGTTTGAAGGACATTAAGTTATACAACATATGTTGGGTGCAGTTCCGAGTGCCTTTTCGAAGTGCAATAGGAACATCAAGATCACTAGTTGGCAGTTCTTCCTCTATTGTCTGAACCTCATTCTCGTTGGATTCTTCAGCAACAATATGATAGGATTATGTTAGTAATTAGTAATTAATATAATAAGTGGTTAGTGGTTTGTGATTAGGGTTGATTTGTTAAGTAGTTAGTAGTTAGTTAGGCCTTGGGATTGATGAGTGGATTAAGAGATAGTATAAATAGAACAGAGGTAGAATAAAGGAGCATTATTCAGTTTGTGAAACTTTTGAGAGAAGATAGTTTAGGGAGAGCAAAGGATCTCTCGAATATCCCCATATTTCTTTTTCTGTAACTCAATTTCCACTATTGATATTAATCAAAGCTCTATTGTTAGCATTTCTCTTTCCGATTTATCATTTTCAATTAATTGTTGGATTGGAGCTTATCAAATTGGTATCAGAGCACTTTCTTGGGTATAGAAATGGCTGGAACATGTGGACGTTGGCAGCGATTAGAAATGCCAATGTTCTCAAGAGAATATCCAGATTCTTGGATCGTAAAAGTGAAAGAATATCATCAAAAAAATCGATTTTCAGAACGTGAAAAGATTTGGTTTGCAGAGAAATTCATGGAAGATGAGGCACTAGATTGGTTGCAGTGGGAGGATAGAAGATGACCATTTGTTTGTTGGAGTGAATTCAAGATGAATTTGCTTCAATGCTTCAGACCAACACAAAGATTGCTTTCGGAAACAAATATGAAGGTTTGGCCACAGAACGTAGGAATGATTTCAGATCTTCATGTTTCTGGTGGTGGCTCGTCGCAACTAGATTTGGAACGTCAAAATCGACGAACGACCTTAGAGAAAACGAGAAAAGATCTAGAATCGTGTGAGGTTGATGGCACTCCAAGCAATTTTTCGTGATCTGGTGCGATATCGCTCAGATCTGAGTCAATAGGCATCAATCTAAGGGCGAATGATGATCGAAAGCTGGGGAAGGAGGCGGATCTTCCCAGAGAAGAGGCTAGGGTTTTCAGACTTGGAGATGTTGGCCAGAATCGTGTGGAACCACACAAGGAAGGGCAGATCAGACTGCCGAAGGGGAAGGTGGCTGAACGTGAGGAGAACCCGTGCGGCGGAGGGGTCGATCTCGACCAAAATCGACCCAATCTGCGACAGGACCAGCAGATCGGCGCCGGTTGGGGCTTGGGAAGCCCAGATCTGCAACGGGGAGGGCTGATCGATGCCGGATTTGGCCTGGGTGGTGCTCAGGGTTGGCGGGAGTTACGATTCAGCCATAATCTTTTAGATCCACGACCTGGAGGTCAGATCAGTGGGGAGCGGTGCCGTGGAATGCAAATTGGCAATGGGCTGGAGCTGAACTACGACCAGAGGCCGCACGGAGGAGAACCGGTGGAAGGGGCGCCGACAGACGTGGAAAGGCAGAGAGGGGGGCTTGTCTGGCTACACGATTTGGAGTGGGAAGCCAGGCTCGATCTGAGCCCATCTGGCGCTCGTCGGGTCAGAGAATTAGACCCGAATTTGGCTGGGTCTTGCGATTCTAGCGTGGGCAGAGTCACATTGGACTTGGTTGGGCCTAATTCAGGCGTAATAGGTTTAATAGGGATATTCGGCGTGAGTTCCAGCAAGATTTTGGCTGGGTTCCGAAATTCCGGCCAGATTTGGACTGGGTGTCATAATTCTGACGCGATTGGGGCTGATTTCCGCAGAATTGGGGTTGGACTTCGTGATTATGGTGTGATTGGGGCATATTCCGGCGAGCTAAGTGCTGGGTTTACCTTTCCAAGGCTCTCTATTTTTGGGTTAATTAGCAATGAGTTGGGTTCTTTGAAAGTTGCTGCTACCCTTGACGTTCCAAGGTTCATGTGCATTGAAATGGGAAGAAGATGGCATCATTCAAGTGCAATTACCTGATCAACACCTTGAGGACAAGGTGTCTTGGGGAGGGGAGTAATGATAGGATTATGTTAGTAATTAGTAATCAATATAATAAGTGGTTAGTGGTTTGTGATTATGGTTAGTTTGTTATGTTTGTTAAGTAGTTAGTAGTTAGTTAGGCCTTGGGATTGGTGAGTGGATTAAGAGATAGTGAGTATAAATAGAACGGAGGTAGAATAAGGGAGCATTATTCAGTCTGTGAAACTTCTGAGAAAAGATAGTTTAGGGAGAGCAAGGGATCTCTCGAATATCCCCATATCTCTTTCTGTAACTCAATTTCCGCCATTGATATTAATCAAAGCTCTACTGTTAGCATTTCTCTTTCTGATTTGTCATTTTCAATTAATTGTTGGATTGGAGCTTATCACAATACCTGCTTCATTCAGTTGTGTGTTTACCTCCGGTTCAGGCTCTTGACAGTGCTCCGGAGTTGTAATAGGCTTGTGTTGCTTTCCAGATTGCCCAGCTCGCCTAGAATAAACACGAAGTTCTTCTGATTCTTTTTGTGTGCTGCTTTGCACATGTGATTCTCCTCATATTTCCAGATCATTAGACAACATAATAGGTAACACTGGACTCTTAGAAGGTAAACTAGGGGGGCTCTGACTCTGTTTCGAATTGAATGGAGAAATCCCAAAGCTGCCCTGCATGTCTCACATTCTCCCCCTGAAGGGTAGGTTTGTAGTAAGCTTGATTTTCAAAGAATGAGACATCCATGGATACGTATACCTTTTTTGTGACAAGACAATAATATTTAAAGCTTTTCTGACTTGGAAAGTAGCCTAAGAAAATACACTTAATGGCCCTAGGATCAAGTTTGTTGTGTTGAGGTGAATTCGAGTGTACAAATGCAGTACATCCAAATGTTTTGAGAGGAAGATCACGAAGTAGACGAATTTGGGGTTAAGACTTACGAAGGATAGACAATGGTGTTTGGTACTGAAGTACTCGAGACGGAAGACGGTTAATCAGATAGCAAGATGTAAGAACTGCTTCCCTCCAAAAAAACTTAGGAACATTGTTAGCAAACAAGAGTGCACAAACGCTCCTACTGTTTGTCATATGGTCTGAGGCTCCCGAGTCAACAATCCAACAAACTTTGTTATTAGTTTTAGTTGTCAGGGCAGAATGAAAATTACCCTTCTGTGCAACTATTGCTGTCGGACCTGAGGATGACGAAGTTGAGGATGGAAGCTGGGACAAGATAAACTGAAGCTGGTCCAATTGTTCCCTGCTGAATGCCAAACCAGAACTGGGTTCTGGAATTTTTTCTCCTTCTCCAGATGAGGTTGTGAAGCCTCGGCTTTCTCCTGAATTCCGTTGACGCTAGCGTTCACGTGCTGGCTTCCAGTCCGGTGGTTTTCTATGGATTTCCCAGCATGTGTCTTTGGTGTGTCCTTGACACTGGCAACGATCACACCAAAGTCTATCACTCCTCTTTAATTTCGGTTCTCTCCAACAGGTTTGAAATTTTTCTTGACAACCAAAGCTAATTCTTGGTGTGGCGGTTCAGTAGTGGGTGCAGGGTTGATCTTCTTTTTCCCAAGCATTACTCTCTGCCGAGCTGCTTCACGTCTCACTTCAGCGAATGCTTCTTTAATTTCAGGGAATGGTTTGAAACCAAGCACACGACCTCGGACTTCATCCAATTCCTTATTAAGACCGAGTAAGAAATCAAATACTCGTTCTTTGTCAAGCATCTTCTTGAATTTAGCACTATCCGTAGAGCAGCTCCAATTGAAATCCTGATATAGATCTAATTCCTGCCATAAGACTTGTAATTCGTTATAATACTCTGTTACCCTTAGATTACCTTGCCTCTTTTCTCTTAGGGCAGATTTCAATTCGAAAATCTGGGTTGAATTCCCTAAGTCGGAGTACATCTATTCTACCATCTCTCAAATTGCATTTTCCGTTTTGTAGTAGAGGTAAACACGGTTGATTGCTGGTTCCATCGAGTTCAACAGCCATGCCTTCACCATGGAAGCTTCAGATTTCCACTTTTTGTAGGCCGGAGTTCCAACCTCAGGTGGTACAACTTCTCCTGTCAAGTAGTCCAGCCGTCTTTTTCCATCAATCACAAGGACAACCGACTGAGACCATTCTACATAATTCGCACCATTCAACTTATGTTGTGTAATCTACAGTGAATGGCTGTCGTCGATGTTGTGGATGATTTGTTGGGGTGTGGCTGTAGTTGTCGTCGAGGTTTGCCCGTTGTGGCGTCAGAGGCAGCTTCCCGAGAGGCCCCAGTTATGGCCTCAGTAATGGTGGTTTTCGCCATTAGAAAGAGCAAGGGAAAAACTCAGTCCCACTCTGATACCATAAAGATTTTCAGAGAACATGATTTCTTATTTCCTTGATATGGTTTACAGTGAAGGCTCTCTTTAAAGAGAACCAAAAATACAAATATGGTAATTTCTTATTACCACGTTTATTCTTCTAGAAACTACCAAAAATACTACAAAGAAAATAGGAAATAAACATAAAGTCAAAATACTAAATTGAGATACAAAATCCATGGGAATCACTCGGATATCCCCTGGAATCACACGGATTTCCTACAATATATATATAAGAATATCGTGCGTACATATATATACGTTTAAAATGTTTCTTCTATTTCACGAAAGCAGTATAAAAGTTGCCCCATAAATAAATGAACTTCAGATAAAACATAATTTGATCAAATAGTGAAGAGCAAAGATACAAGTATGTCACAATCAACAACATCGAAGCCATAGAAGCGGATGTGATGCTCAAAGTAAGGAAATCAAAACTCATATTCCTCAACTATTTCACTAACCTTGGCAGTACATCATCAAGCAGTCAGCATAACATTTTGTAGATGGGAAGAAGATTCAAGACATATACATTGAAGTCAAAGACCTTGTTGACAAACCAAACACGAAAGAAGATAAAAATTAGGGATGATAAAGCGTTGCTTCTCGTATGAAAGTTCGAATCCCTCCAATAAAACATATCTTCTTCTCGCCTCCAACTGAATCTCCTTATGAGCTGATTGTAGAAAGAATCTGAGTACAGATAAGCATGGAACAGATTTTACGCTTAGACTCACTAATTGACAATCATTGAACAGAAACGCAACAAGAGATCACGAATACTTCAAGAAAAGCGGAAAAGTAGTCTTTGTTACCTTGTTGGTAAATGTACGAAACACCTCCACTTCCATGGCTTTATCAAGTTCCTAACAGTGGCAAAGAAGAAATTTCAGCAGACGTTTCTCCAAATTGCTTCAGCATCAGTTACATGTAATATCTACCCTAATCACGAAGACTGTGATAAAACAATTTTTTTTCCCCGATTAAATAGGTAATGTTACTCACACTCTCCGGATCAAGAGAGCTATCAATAGCACAAATGAGTTTCTGAAGGTCTTCATCTTTTAACGCGTCGCGAATATCACTGGAAGAAGCTGCAAAATACAAGATCCACTTTTGTTGGATAAGTATTTCTACTCATGCTTCGGATTATAGGTTTAAGCCAGTTACAAAACCAGACCTGTAGCCTCGTGTTGCGATCTCTTCACCACCTCGCCAGGTTCATCGACATTTAACGGTCTTTCTACACGTGACTCTGGATTGGCAGCTGAAAAAATAACAATGAAACAGAGACCAAAATTGCTCAGGCTCTTGGACCATAATATACCTATGTAAAACGTGTATGTATATACATCCCCTAAACATGTATGCTTAAAAACCTAACGACTTATCATGAATTAAAGAAGGGAAAATTCCGTACTTGATTTCTGATTCTGTTCGGAAGCCACTGGCATAGAGCATGGAATTTCTGCCAATCATATAAACTCAGTCCAGTTATTTCTAGTCACTACCAAAAGGAGGAGTATACACTACATATCCATTCACTTCAAAATTCCTTATGTTATGTACCCATCCAAAGATTCCTGAATGATTTACACTCGCCAAAAAAAAAAAAAAAATCTAAAGCGTACCTTTGTGTTTCTTGAAACAGGTTAGCGAGCAACTGCGAACAGGAAATTTACAAAATAAGAGAGAAATTTACAAAATAAGATATATATATATATATATTGCGTGAATCTGTAAATTTACTTACTAAGGGAGAAGACAAGAGGGACACTTGTACTTGGAAGCTGCTTGATTACAGACAAGACACTGTTTAGGCCCCATTCTTCAACTGTTCCGATGCCTTTCCAATGAACAACAACTAAATACTCAATACGACACGCCCTTCAAAATTATAAATCTCTAAAATTTGTTGTTGCTCCAAAAATTTGCACTGCAGAAATTGGCCTTCTACTCAGTGGAAATCTGAATGGTAAAGCTAAGGAAAAGAAAGCTTCCCTCGGTTGTGTTTCCGTGAAGAGACAGAGAGAGTAAGTTCGGTCAGAGGAGGAAGAATAGAAAAGCGAAAAAAAAAAAAAGAAAAGGGAACTTTTTAGCTAGCAGGTTGGGGCACTTTTGCAAATATCATAAATTTTAAGGATCAAAAGATAATCTTAAAAAGTTAAGGGGCCAATATATAATTTTTTGCCCCTAAAATATATTTCTTTGGTTTTTTTACTAAATAAAGTTATAATGCACATAAAAACCCTAATTAACTACTATAAACATCTAAATTTAAATAATTAATAATAATTAAATGCTCAGGGTGTTGCAAAGAATAATATAAAAGATGTAATTATTTTTTCAATAATTTATCATATTTATTCTTCTTTTTTCCTATTATAATTATTTATCTTTCCAAACGTCTATTTGCAACTATGTTTATTGTTGTTTTCCTTTTAGTAATTTAGTAATATTCTCCTTTATTTGAGGGGAAAAAATTGAGTACTTTATTAAAGAATTTTCAATAAAATAAGCTCAATCTAACTGTGTAAATTTCTATATATTTGGTAATAAATTGAATCAATATCTTAAATTTAAATATCAAATTAAAAGGGGAAGTTATTTTTTCAAAAAGAATGGCAGCTTAAATATTTCAAAGTTTGAAATATATTAAAAATTTTAAAAGCTTTTCATGTGGTTTCGTAATTTTTTTTAACAATTTTAATAACAATAATAATAATAATAGTAACAATAATAAAAATAATAACACTAAAAACAATAATAACAATAATAACAATAATAATAACAATAATAATATTAATAATAATAATAACAATATTAATAATATTAATATTAATAATAATAACAATATTAATAATAATAATAATAACAATATTAATAATAATATTAATAATAATAACAATATTAATAATAATATTAATAATAATAACAATATTAACAATAATAATATTAATAATAATAACAATAACAATAATAATAATTATTATTATTATTATTATTATTATTATAATTATAATAACAATAATAACAATAATAACAATAATAATAATAATAATAATAATAATTATTATTATTGTTATTGTTATTATTATTAATATTATTATTGTTAATATTGTTATTATTATTAATATTATTATTAATATTGTTATTATTATTAAAGCCGACACGAAAAAAACACGTTTATGACCCAACTAGCAAAAATAGTGAATTTTATATTGTATTCAAAACTATATTAATTGACTACTTAATATCACTTATAGTTAAAATCATGCATAATAGCCAACACACATTAAAATATCTAAAACATCACTTATGACATATGTTTCAAAACATACCAATTACTAAACATCTAAAGAAGTTTGAAAACATAACCAAGTACATTTAAATAAGTTTGAAAACATAACCAAATATTTGAAAATTTAAGTGCATAAACATAATCAACCATCTACAAGTCCATTGGCATATTTAAGTGCATAAAGCATAAAACATATTTAAAGTTTAGGTTTATCAATTACAAATCATCCATTGGCATTTTGTAATCAACCATCTACAAGTCCATCTACAAATCATCCATCTACAAGTCCATTGGCATTTTATAATTTTATCAACATACCATAACTTATTTAAAAGTTAGAGTGTTAAATTAAGTTAACCCCTTTTATCAAACACCCTTCATGCAAATGAGAGAATATAAATAAAACGGGCTGTGAGAGAATGAGAGAGAATGAGAGAATGAGAGAAAGAGAATTAGAGAAGCTAGGGTTTTATCTTAAAAAATATATATATATATATATATAGATTAATAAACGGGTCGGTTCGTGTCGTGTCGTGTCGGCCTGATTATGGCCCGTATAAATAAACGAGTTAAGCGTGTTAAACGGGCTGGCACGAATCCAACCCATTTATTTTCGTGTTATTCGTGCCAGCCCGTTAACGACCCAATTAATAATCGTGCGGTCTAAACTCATTTATCTCGTGTCATTTTCGTATCGTTTCATCGTGTCGTGTCCAAAATTACCGGCCCTAATAATAATAGAAGGTTGATCACATTACAATGGTCGATGTTTAGCACCAAAGAGACACTCCAAGAATTTTTTTTTTTTCTTCTCTGTTTAGATGAAGATGCCTAGCACCACTAACGATAAAACTTCCTAATATTGGAAGATGAAGGAGACTGCGGCCCATTTAGTTCCCTTATTCAAATTTTTAATTTGAGTTATAATTTGAGAGAAAAAGAAAAATAGGATAAGACTTGAGATGAATTAAAATTAATAGGCCAATAGTTTACATAAGTTAATAAATATGTCAAATTACTGTTTTTGTTCATAACTTATCTGGTTATAAATCATAACTTGACAAATTATTGTCCATAATTCACAATTTTTATCCATAACTAAAACCATAACTTAATAAATTTGTCCATAACTTATTTAGTTATGAACCATAACTTGACAAATTATGACCTATTAATTTCTATAACTAAAAATTGACCTATATACTTTCTTAAGCTTTTCATATTAACTTATTTTCTACTATTTCCGTTATAATTTTATGTGAATTTTTTAATGTAGTAAAAAAATTAAATATAACTTTTTAAAAAATTTTTACTACAATAAAATTTAAATAACGAAACTTGCATCTTTCCCCTCCAAAAGGCATCTCAGCAGCCAACAAAGCATATAATGATCTGAACACTACGGATTCGCAGTAGAGCATCCAAGGACAATTCTTAACGATTCCTAGTTAAAAATAGTATTTAAAGCATAATAATTCTAAAAACCTGCAATATAATATGAAAAAATAAATAGCATACTAACAGTCTAAAACACAAATTTTAACCATCATATCTTCGTCATGCCGCAAGGTAAGTTACTAAGTTATATTAAACCATAAAATTCTCCTTTTTGTGACGAGAAAAATATTTCCTCACTTTGATCGGAAAAAAAAAATATGTTTGACTTGTCACAGAGACGTCAAACGAATTCCAAAGTACAAACATAAGCATGTTGGGATTTCACATATAAAGCCCTTCTGGTACGCCTTCCTTTTTCTTGAACATCACCTTCTCCTTTGCCTTCTTGAAATCCACATGTGTCACCTGAAACGGAATTTAAACATTCACCATCAAAACCTATCCGCCATGTTAAAGCGAACAAGTAAATAAAATAAAAACATTTATTGGGAAAACGACGACAAAGGGTACGGCAAGTTGAATCTACAACTTATGGGGTTCTCTTTTGCTTGCCTAGAAATTGACTTTTAACAAAAATCCATTCAAGTTCAGTGTCAGTCTCACCTTCATACGGCGCTCTCTTAAAGCGAGTAAGCCGGCTTCTGTGCATATGGCCTTTATATCAGCTCCAGAAAACTCATCCTTGGTCATGACAAATTCTTCCAAGTTGACATCATCTGCCAATGTCATCCTTGATGTATGTATCTGCAAGATATGGCTCGCAATCATATTTTTAAACCTTACATCTTATAAATTTCAGGAAAGAATTTATCTATGCGTTTAAAACTCGTTCCAAAATAATTTTATTTTTTGTATGAAAATGAAAATGAAAATTTCAATCTCAGACAGAAATCATTTTTGAAAATGCGTTTGGTAGTTTTATCAAGAGATTGCTTTCAGTATAAAAAATCCATTAATGTCTCTCTTTCTCTCTGTGCTCGAGAGAGGAGAAAACCGAAACAAAAAATGAAAAACGACTAAAAGTCGTTTTTCATTTCTCTCCCATTTTACACTAAACCAAAAAATCGTTTTCATTTATGTTTTTTGTCTTTAATTGTGCAAAACACCGTTTCTTTCCCGTTTTCATTTTTTCTTTCTCAAAAAACATAAAAAATAAAAACAAAACCAACTCCAAACATGGAATATATAACTACAATAATCTTCTAAGATACCTGGAATATGCGCCTCCTTGTTTTGATATCAGGAAGAGGGAATTCAATTTTCCTATCTATTCGACCAGGCCGAAGCAAAGCTGGATCAAGACTTTCAATCCTATTTGTTGCGAGGATGACTTTGACGTCTCCTCTCGAATCAAAGCCGTCTAGCTGGTTAAGGAGCTCCAACATGGTCCTTTGTATTTCACGTTCCCCCCCTGAATGGGCATCATATCTGCAAGAGGAAAAAATATAGACCGTAATAACCACAAATGCCTCGAGAGGAAAACTGCAATCTCACCATTAAAATTTCAGTGGCTCACCTCTTGGTACCAACTGCATCGATTTCATCGATAAATACAATCGAAGGAGATAGATCATCAGCAACTCTAAAGAGCTCCCTAACTAATTTTGGGCCATCTCCCAAGTACTTTTGAATCAACTCACTACCAACAACACGCAAGAAAGTTGCTGATGTAGAATTTGCAACTGCCTGAAAGTACACAACTAAAGATTATAAGTGAAAACAGATCATATAACATGAGCAAATGCAAACCACACTTTTTAATCTCTCTTGCATTGGAGTGGTTTGGGAGAACCGGACGAGGTTCAGGAAAGGAGGGCACAGAAAAAGTATTAAGCATATCAAGCACGACGAATAGAAACATAATAAGATGCAGCATCTCAGTAAGGAGAAAAACAGAGTAAAGAAATATATAGAAACCTTTGCTAGCAAAGTCTTGCCAGTCCCTGGTTCTCCATACAGTATGACACCCTTTGGGGGCTTTATCCCAATGTCTTCATACAGTTCAGGATGAGTGAGCGGAAGCTCAACAGCTTCTTTTATCTCCTGTATCTGGGCATCTAATCCACCTATGTCAGCATACGATTCCAGTGGAGCTTTCTCAACTTTCATCACAGACACCATCGGATCAACTTCATCTTGAAGCAGCCCAACAACGGAGAGAACCTAAAAGCGATCACAAAATTATAGAAGATCAATTAAGGCATTGAAACTAGATCAATGGCACAACAAGACTGAAAATTTTCAGCCAAACTGTTGCAAAACTCACAAAGGAAAGTATCCTATTCATATATAGCTGTAAACTAAAAATTTACAAGGAAATGAAAAAAGGGATAGAATCCCATACACAGGAAAAAACTAGACCGTACACAAGGGATTCACAAGCAAGCAAGAAATAAAGTACAGATTATGCAATAGAGAACTCCAAGAAACTACGCAAAGCGATAGAAAAGTAATTATATTCCAAGACCCGGAAGGGAAGTATACAATTATGACTTAGCAAGAATGTCGAAAACATGCTTAAAATATTCGTTAGAACCGTTAAAAAAGTGACAATTAGATGCCCAATTCAGTGTAACAATGAAATCCTCTATACAAATTTTCAATTTGTAGCCGCTCTTCTCAAAGCACTAGCTTCCAATTCGCATTAAATTGAAAAAAGAAAAACCAAAATCCTAGCCTCAGAATTGAAGGGAGGAAACAAACTTACTTTATTGTGCATCAGAATCGCACAACCAGGCTCTAATTGGTCCTTATCGACGAAGGACAAAATCCCGACGTAGTACTCAGGCCCAACCGAGGACGATACAATGGCGTGATTCTCGTCAATGAGCTCCTCGAGATTTCCAACACTCATGGGGGAGCCTCGGAGATCATCGACCTTGGATCTATCTTCCTCAGCCTTCTCCTCCTGAGGCTTCAAGCGCTCTTGATTGCTGACGAACTCTTCCTCCATGAGAAGATAATCTTTGATTCGCTCAAGCTTCAAAAGCCTGAGCTTGCATTTCGTCAAAGGGGTCACCGTGGGAAGCCGAGCCGCAGCTTCGGGGCCCTTTTGCTTGCGCTGCTTGCGGCCGACCCGGGCTGGAGGAGCCGCAGGCTCGAACTTCTTCTCCTTCTTATCGCCTCCATCGGGCTTCCGATCACCTGGCAAGCCTGGACGGTTGAGGCCACCAGGGGTTCCTTGACCCATAGTTGTGTTGTGCTTTGATTTTCTTTGTTAATCTGACTGCGAGAGGAAACCAATATTAGCTTTTCTTTCTTTTCTTTTGTGGGGGAAGAGATCACGGCATACCATAAGGCATAAACATCTAAAGCACGATTCTTGGCATATCACAACGCATCTAAAACACAAAACGCAAACATAGCAATACGTATCAACATATCCAAGCAAAAGGAAAATGTCTTATTGAGTTTGAATTCCCAACTGCATCCCAAGTTCCAATTACTCTGTCAAAATTTCCAATTGTTTCAGCCGATTCAGATTTAAAAGATGACAAAAATTAATAAAGAAAAATACAATTTAGATAAATAGCAAAGGATCCTAAGACACTTCTTTATCTGCTCCAACTCAAAGACTTGCCAAGCTCAGCAATAAAGTTCCCAGAAAACAATAAACACTAACATCAATATGTACGCTTTTGGCAATACTGAAACACGATAACAGCATTACTATTTACTACTCAATAGTTTCCGAGCTTTCCCAGTAGGCATTTTCTCAAATGTCGATTGGAATACCTCACTCATCAACCCCCATCAAAAGAAACAAAAAAAAAAGTAATTGAACAAGATATTGAGTTAATATCATCAATCATTCGATTTCAGAGAAAAAAAATTGATGCATCCCAATTAGCATTCGGAATTCAGATTTCAGAGGAAAAACAACATTCGACCACAAAAACAAATGTATTAATTCAAATATAGTTAACACAATGTCAAAAAACACAACAACAAAAAAACCTAAGCGAGAAGAAGTGAAGAAGGTTGAAGAGAACCACCTCAGCTGACGGCGGGGACTGCTAGGGTTTTTTCAAGAGAAGAAGAGAAACTAAGCATGAGAAAAACGAGGGTATATGACCTAATATTACATATGCATACATACATATATATATATATATATATATATAGTTTGGGAATAGCCAAAACTAGGAGATCGAGAGGACAGAAGATAGATCGGAGAGAGAGAGAGATTGAGCTGTCTGTCTGAAAATAACAGAGGAGATTCCTGGGAAAGCAAGAAAATAGGGAAAGCAGGAGATGAAAGCAGAAAAACTTACCAAGTGAGTTCCGGATCCAAGGAGAGGGACGACAAGCAGAAACGGAGAGCTTTTCAAGGGGATTCTTTTTTCTTTTTTTTTGGCTGCAGTCTGCAGATGAGGAGGGCTTTGGTACTTTTGCTCGGAGAGAGAGAGAGAGAGATGTCGTTGGGATCAAGTCACCGATTTTCTCAGCCCAAAAAAAAAAAAGAAAAAAAAAAGGAATAAAGAAAGAAAAGAGAGAGAAGTGATTTTTGGTGTAATATGGGCCGGACTTGGTGGAATTAATTGGGAACCCCATTGTTTTCTTGGGCCTTTTCAAATAGCTGTCATAAAGCCCATAGACAAGTGATGAAACACAAAAACAAGAGAGCCCCTCAACTCGTCCAATTAGGCAATTTAAAAACCTTTGGTAAGGGGATTAATTCGAATCATGATTAATGATTAATAGTTTATTATAGTATTTTTTTTTATAAAAAATACACGTAAATTAAAAATAATTTTAATCTCATAATTCTAATCCATTAATCAAACGTCTTCTTAGTCTTTATTGTTTTTTTCCTAGCAACTAACTCCTTTAACTTGAAAATCTTTATAAGTAAGGGCCAGTCAAAAAGGCATCTATCTTTTTTTATGATTGTGATTACACAACGTACACGTGAGAGTCCGTTGAGGACAATGAATAGTGCTGGAACTTTGGACGGGCCGCCCGCGACCGCCCAAAAAACCCGAGGATTTGCCCGAGCCCGAACCCGACCCGCCCGAGATTTTAGGGCCGCCCGCCCGAGCCCAAATTTCACCTTGAACGGGCCGCGGGCTTGTATTCGGCGGCCCG